ATGGTAGAGAAAGGCCTGTCCTCTGTCAACGACCAGAGCCAGACCGGCGCTGACGCCGACACATCCTCGGATGACAATGACACCATGGATGCCCAGCTGGAGGAGCGCCTGTCCCACCACCTGGCCGGCTTGCAGCAGGTCCTCACCCACCTCACCAGGGACGCCAACGCCCTCACCCGGAGGTACAGCCAGATCCTGGAGCAGATCAGCCCCAGCGAGGGGCAGCCCAGCTGGTGACCCTGCCCCGTCCGCCAGGTAAGAGCTGGGGGGGACACGGAGCCCAGGGGCACTGGGGCAAGGGGTGGCCGATGTCCCCAGGGGGTCCCCCACGCTGCAGGGGTGGGGAGCTACTGGGAAGTGCCTTGAAATGGGGGCCGTCCCCTCAAATGCTGCAGATCTCCATCTCCATGCTGAAGGAGGGCACTCATCCCATCCCTCTGTGCAGAGACTCCAGGGGTTCAGGGTCTACGGACCCGGGCTGGTGGGCCAGCTCTCTCCCTGGGATGGCCTTCAGGGTTAAGGACAGCTGCCGTTGCAGGATGGGTGCTGGTGGCACGACGGAGAAGACGTCCCCATCGCTGACCGTCGTGGGCTCTTCCCCAGCCCCGCTCACCCTCCCCGCACCGCAGCAGCTGATCTCCCAGCGCTGGCACCGCACGCCGGCGCCGGCTGGGACCACCCGAGGACCAGATGGTGCCTTATCCTCATAGGAAGAAGCATCTGGATGTGCTGGGAGGTCCGTCAGAAGAGCCACACGGCTCGTGCCCTCCTCTTTATTTTCAAAGAGTGGCACGAAGGCGGCGGCGTTGCACGGTGGCCCCGACCTCCGACGGTCCCCTGCGACTGCCGAGCCCTTTTCCAGCTGGTACCTGGACTCCGGGGGCGTTTTCCCCAATCTTTGCTAATAAAACAAGCCCTGTGAAGCCGCTGTCGGTGTGGTGCTTTCCCCTGGCTGGAGCCCTCGGGGAGTGCCCCGGCGTGGGGCGGGGGGACCCTGGCTCTGCTGGGAGGGGACTTTCCAGTGCAGCGATGGGGAATTTGAAGGGCCAAAGAATCACAAAGTCCTGGGATGGTTGGGGTTGGAAGGGACCTTCAGAGACCATCTAGTCCAATCCCCTGTTGTGTGCAGGGACATCTGCCACTAGATCAGGTAGCTCAGAGCCCCGTCCAACCACAGGGCATCCACAGCTTCTCTGGGCAACCTCTTCCTGTGTCTCACCGCCCTCATGCTAAACAGTTTTCTCCTTATGTCGACAGCAAGACCAGCAAAAGCTGGTGCCGGTTTTCTGTGCACCAGCTCTGGGCTGTGACTCTGCCCAACGCACAGCCCAGACGTGCAACAGCGAGGCGGACACCGAGCCCCACTGCTGTGCACCCAGAAGGGAGGGAGAGAGACGTCAGCCCACGTACAACGCAGTCACCAGGCTCAGGGTTCTCTTCAAAGGTCTCCCCAGGGGTGTCCCACCGCCGCTGGTGCTGCTCTGTGCCCCAAAGCTCCCCACGCCTTGCTCCTGCCCCTCAGGGTTTCTGCCCCAGAGCTGCCCCAAGTGGGGCTGAGGCTGGGGACCGCCCCCGAGGAGCAGCGGAGCTGCAGGTCTCGGCGCCTCTGGAAAGCAACCGCCCCCGGGACCCCAAACCCGTGTCTAGGATTGGGTTACGTCGGAGATTCCCATCTCCTCTCGCCTGATCAGGCCGTTCCTCCTGGCTGTCGAGACCACGTTGGCTTCGGCTTGTCCTCCCCGAGCCCGGGCCGCAGGGACGGGGTCTCCAGCCACCTGTGGCCGAGTGGCCAGCCGGGGGGCCAGGGGCTCTGGAGGGGGCAGCTGGGGGCCGGATCCAGGGCCACCCCACATCTGAAAGGGTGCCGAGTGGGTTTGAGCAAGGACAAGGACAGTCCTGGTGGTGTCAGGGGAGGCAGAGACATGGGGGCATCCGACAACAGGCGGTGCTGGGGACAACGCAGGGACACTTGGGGACACGTGCGCGGTGGCATTTTCCTCCTTCTGAGCCATGGCAGGGGACAGGCTCCCCAGGAGGATGGCGGGTCAGGGCAAGGCTTGCCCAAACGCCGAGTCTGCGGCCGCAGAGACCCGAGGATCTCATTGCACCTCCCGTGGGCTCGGCACCGACCCCGCTCCGCAGTGCTGCCGTGCTCCTCCGGGTGACTTCCCTCGTGCGTCCAAATTTCTTGCTTTTCTGGGAAGGGCGACGCCGGCATCTACAAAAGTGTTTGCCGAGCACCAAGTGCCCTGAAATGTGGGCAAACACAACTCCTCCCAGCCAGCGTGAGGATTTTGAGGCAGACCTGCCCTCGCGTCGTCCCTCGACCCTGGCAAGGCTGCAGCCGTCTGTCTTATCCAGAGAAAGTGGAGCACAAGGGGGATCTTGGGAGACACCTAAGCCGTCCCCGCATCGCAATGCCACTGCAAGTGGGGGTGTGATAGCACAGGCTAGGGGAGAAGTGGAGCTGGAAGATGGACATGGGGTCTCCATGTCCAACCCGCCTTTGGAGCTCCTCTGTCTCCGCCCAAGCACGAGGAATGGAGGGACGTCGGTTCCCGGTGAGGTGAGGACCACGGAGGAGGTGATGTCCCTCTGGTGGTTTACATGGCTGGAGCTGAAGGACAGGACCTGTGTCACCTGGAGAAGATGGCTGGCCACAGCGAGGAAGGCCTGTGGTCACCTCCAGCAATGGCTTTTCACATGGGCAGCACGCTCGGCAGCTGGAGAGGCTCCCGCTGCCCCGGGGAAGTATCGTAGTGGGACATCGGGTGCAGCGCTCACCACCGCTGTTGAACACGGCTGACGAGAGACGCAAGACGGTCCCAGAAAAGCTCTAAGACGTGGGACAGCTGGAAGGACACGCTGACGACTTACGGGCCACTTGCAATCCCCCGGGAGCCCCAGCTCCCTCTCTGCGAGCCGCTGTCTGGCCAGCCGGCCCCGGCCCCGCTGTTTCACAGGAAACTTCTGCCTGCTCCGATTGCAGGGCATTGCATCACGCTGCCCCCGGGGATGCGTCGAGCCCCGACGGTGCCCTGCTGCTGGCCACCGCTGTTGGGCATGGCTGATAAGAGACGCGAGATGGTCACAGAAAAGGTCTTTGTCCTTGAGAAACCCAGTGCCGGTCCCTGGCCGGACGAGGGCAGGCGGGGCCGATCAGGCCCTCTCCGGCGTGACAGGGGGGTGCTGGCTCCGTGCTGCCCTGGAAAGGCTCCCGGGGCACCGGCGCTGTTGCCAGCCGCCACGGGGAAATAAACTCTTCCCTTCACATCGCTGAAGCCAATCAGGATTGCAGGTTTATCTAGATCTGTTTAACGGCATCTAATTAACCAGAAAGCAGTGACCTGGGCAGGCAGGCTCAGCACCAGGAAGACAAGAGATAAAGCACAGTTTCGACCCAAACTGTTAAATAAATAAGAAATTCCAAATACCCTTCGCTAACCAGTCCCGAGAAGTCCTAACCGCACACCACCTAGAGGAGGGGGGGGCTGCCAGCACCCCCGCCCCTCCCGGGAGGGCAGGTTCCCTGCCTGCGCACCCCTGCCTTTGGATTCGGGGGTGCTCTGGCCTCAGCCGTACCCCCTGCTGCTGCCCATCGCCCGCTCGTGCGGGTGCCAGGGGGAAAGCACCCCACAGAGTCGCACCCGCACCCCCCGGCGCTGGCTCCCTGCTTGGCCACGTTGGCCATGAGCCAGCAAGGTGTTGTCCTCAGGGCAAAGACGGCCACCAGCCTCCCGGGAGGAGGGGGAGGGAGGGGATCCTTCCCCCCTGCTCAGCCCTGCTGGGACGCGTCCGGGCGCTGGGTCCAGTCCAGGCTCCCCAGTAGAGAGAGACAGGCGCCTGCTGGGGAGGGTCCAGCGAAGGGCCGTGGAGGTGACGAAGGAGCTGGAGCACCTTCCGTCTGAGGAGAGGGAGGCTGGTTGAGCTGGGACTGTTCAGCCTGGAGGAGAG